CTCTTTATAGACTGGACACTGGTTCAAGTCCATCTGGTGGGGTCACCTTGGCCTCCTTGATCAAGAGGTCAGATGACCCACCACCATTACAGGACATTTTGCGAGATGCTCATGGTCCCTGAAAGGTAAAGCTTTTAAACATGTTTCAAGGACTGGTTGATGGGTAGGCATAGGCGAGCTTTTCTTTCTTTGTTGGAATGGATAATTTCAGCTTTCACATCTGTTCTGAGGGTAGCTCACACTGAGGGCAGCTCAGGCCTGATAGACTGTGAGGTCCTCACCAAGTCACTACTGCCATCTGGATGATATTTAACTACTGTGTCTTCTGACATTATGCTTCTTAGAGAAGATAGGGTAACCTGGGTCAGCTGAGACTGATGTATGGATGATACACTGGGATTACTCAGGACAGTGATCTTAAGGAGAGAGAGAGAGAGAGAGAGAGAGAGAGAGAGAGAGAGAGAGAGAGAGGAGAGAACACCCATATGTCCATACCTGTGTGTGAATTTACATGTGGACATAAGCATTTGCCTAAATGTGTGACCCCTAGGCTTTTAAAAGGATTCCTAGAGATTCTAACTCTCCCTGAGAAGAAGGGCCGTTGCTTCTGGACCCACTGATGATTACCATGTAATTGTTTTGTACTTGGGACGAGAATCCCCCATTTGCAATTTGAAAGCAGGTTGTTTTAAAGATGAACTTACTAGCTTTAGGCTAGCGAATACAATTATACAGCAATATATCTTTAGGGTCACAGAGTGATGTACTGGGCTCTTATAAAATACAGCACCAGAGAAAAAGCCACCCAAATGCCACCTTCTCACGTGGAGCTAGCATGAGACTACCAACATTGGTGTCAGGTAGCCTAACGAAAAGTTGGTTTTAATCCGTGGTGATGGATGTGTTGAAATGAGATAAACACAGTAGATTTAAAGGTGACATAGATTTCTTGACCAGTGGCCTCCAAGGCCCTGTACCGTTCATCTTCATAGTGAACAAAGGTACCCAGCTTCAGGGCCTTCCTAGCCTGGCATGAGATCTGCCTTCTCTAGAGTATTCATCAGAACGTTGACTGGTAAGAGTAAAATAAAATCTGTCCTCACTTTCTCTGACCTCTTCCTTTCATATTTGATGTTAATACCTTGTTAAATCTGCATTTGTAAGGGAACCAGTTTGCCACAGGCAATGAACTCTCTGCTAGAGGAGGTCAGTGGTAAGGATATGAGACAGTCATTCTTATCCACTAATTTTTTACTTCAAGTTGTATAATAAGTATAAAGTTTTAGGTTTGAGGATGAAATGGAGAATTGATGTTTGTGGAGCAAAATAAGTAAACAATTTTAGTAGGGGAACAAAACATCACCTACCTTAACAGACCATTCATGGAGCTCATCTTGGCAAGATTCTGAAATGTATGTCTCTGAGTCTTTATACTGAGGATCGAGGTGAATGACCTAGATATGCGTTTAAGAGATTCCATCCCTTCAGAACTGAAAGGACAGCTTCCTGCCACTCAGGGACGACAATGCTAATGAAATCTCTCTCTCTCTCTCTCTCTCTCTCTCTCTCTCTCTCTCCCTTCCTCCCTCCCTCCCTCTCAGACAACAACCACTCAGCTTTCATTTCTCATATTGCCCAAGGGGATATAAAATAAAAAGAGGTCAGCCAAGAAAACTGACTGTCTGTTAAATTAGACTTGCAAAATATGCTACTAAAAAAAGAAACTTATACTGTGCTTCTGTTGTATAGAAGTTTACAATACACAATAGCACAAGCCTATTCCTATCTTAAGATTTTTCCAAAATGAACAAACAGTGTGCTTGCCCCATAAGGAAACTGAATGGCTATTCTTTGTATTAAGTTATGATGCCACCCAGAGTCTAGCAAATGGGACCTGAAAAGTCCTGTGGACAAGTGATCCTTCTCCACTGTATTCCTGAACATCCGTAATCATGCAGTAGTAACTAAGAGCCCTGTTGCTCTTTCTTTTCCATAATATGATCTAGGAACAATAGAACAATATTGATCATTATTGCTAGTGCCCACTGTGTGCTAGGCAACATTATAAGTGCTACGTCTCTGTTTCTGTGTTTCTGTACAGGTAGATTGATCAGTTGATTGATCTGTACAGCTGTTTAATCTTTACAAAAACCAATACAGTAGGGAGTTTCATTACCTTTATTTTACATATGAGGACACTGGGGCCTGGTGAAGTTTAGTAACTCACCTCTGCCATGCAGCTAGGGAAGGGCCAGGCCTAGATTCCCATGTAGGCTGTCTGGCTCCAGTGCCATGCTCATGACATTTTCACCACGTCAGCAAGAAGGACTGTGGGGTTGGAGCCGTGGACTGAAGGCATGGCTTTGTCCCTTTGGGAGTCCAAGGGCATCATGCTGCTAGAACTGTTGCAAATCAGTATAATACAGATAAAAGCGCAGATTTGGCAGAGATTTGTAAGGCTCAGAGTTCATGCATAGAAAATCTTCATACAGGCTCTGTCCCCTCCCCACTTACTGTTATACTTTCCCAAGCATTCATTTTTCTTTTTTAAAAATTTTATTTATTATTTTTATAATTTTATGTGTATGAGTGTATTGTCTACATGTACATAAG